CGATCTTGGGGGCCTCTTGGGCCCTCTTGGAGCATGGGTCAGACGAAAAGGCGAAAACGCCTAAATCTTTGAATAGCCGAAGGGAATCCGTTATTCTTTGCCTCTGGGGGCCCTTTTGGGAGGGCTCTTGGTGGCCTCTTGGGGCGTTTCAAAGGCGTCTTGGGCCATGTGAAGGCCACATGGGGTGTCTTGGACCGATGGTTCGACGACTGGGAGCCCTCTCGGATTGTCTTGGGGGCCTTTTGGGGCCCTCTTGGAGCGCTCTTGAGGGCCTAAAGGGCGGCGCCCAGAAGGAAAACCATTTCTGAGCCGAACCAGCCGGGGTACTTTTCGTCAAGGACCCCCAGGGGCCGCCCCGCGCGCGCGAAGTAGCAATACTGTAAAGCAGTTGCCGGAGATCTTAGCACGCATCTGGCCCGTTGGGCCGGCAGGTTCACTTGTAGCTGCAGAAGTCCTTCGAATCCTGAGGCCCCGCGGGTTTTCTCAGAAGTCCGACGCGCTGGGGTCGGGTTCACATGTGTCGATCAGTGCCAAGTGGTGTCACCACCAGGGGGGTCATCAGCTGCTCCTTAAAACGAGCTTCCAGGATGGAAGCTGGAGGACATTTTTAGACGTGGAGTCGTTTTGGATTACGCTCGCTCACCAGTACACAGGCCCCACTCGAGCACTCAGCCAAGACCAATAGCGAGAAGTCGAGGTGACACACACGCCTGCTCCGACACCAGGAACTCCCTCCTCTTTTTCTGCTTCTCCTCCAAAAGAAAGAAATTAAACATACCAGAGAGTCCTCTTTTTCTCCCTCTCCTCCTAGCCTTTACACGTCTCTCACTGCATGTGTCCAGGCACGTCAGAATCCAGAGGCCGCGGCCTCACCCACCCGGTCTGAGCTGGGCCTGGGCGCTTGTCCGCAGCGGTGGTCGTTGGCTCGTTGCCTGTTGGAAGGCCCTGCAGTGTCCCCCAGTGGTGGGCCCCCCTGGGCGTTGCCACAGTGCGGTTGCCCAGGAGCACGAGCAGCTGCGCCGCGAGTGCGCCAGGCTGCAGGCCAGGCGACGACGGCAAGCTGACCCAGACCATCGGGCGAATTTGCGTTTCAGTGGCCATGACGATCCGATTGATCCGATCCATCGGTTCCGGCCGGCCCGATCCAATTCGGCTTTGGTATTTCGACGATCCGATACGGCCACATGTTTGCATGGTAGCGTTGTGCATCCTGGCGCGGCTGATCCGGTTCGAGTCCGACTCCGTGCCGATGCGGCCCGATTCATTGACTGTTTCGACCCGATCTGGGTTGCCGATTCGATGCTGCCTGATCCTGCGTTTTCCAGCCCTCCGGATCTTCCACATTTTTCGGGTTCTTGGGCCCCCTGTTCGGGGTCTGGGGCACGTGGTGAAGGGGTCCGGGACGGGAAACTGCCCACCGAGGAAGGGATCGGCACCTCGAGGGGCGGCGGACTGAAGATACCACACCGTCGGACGTGAGGGCATACCCGAGGAAGCCAGGCGCAAGCGTTCGGATGTCCGCGCGAGTGGGGGCGGTCGGCGCTACCCCGCCCCCTGGCGACGCCTCGAGCGCCTCCCCTGGGGCGCTCGGGGGGTTCCAGCGCCGATCCAAGGGCTCTGGCGGACCTGCGAACGTTTCTGTCATGTGCTGTACAGTCGGACCGAGCTATAAGATCGAGGTTGGATGCGGGAGGGTACCCTGATATTCTGCGTGCTTGTTGGATTTTCTTGTGCGCCCTGGGGCGGATACCCTTGGATGTTATGTGTATATATATATGTATGTGTTTTGGCCGGCGGAGGGCCTCGTGTTCTTGAGGGATGCTCCTCTGGCCCAGGTCCGACTGCATCTTGTGACGAGGCGCAGTGAATGCTCGCACGCAGATGACCAGGTCCTGGCCGGGCCCATCCTGGGCCGAAGTCTGGTCAGCGCGCCGCCCTGCCCAGGCCAGGAAGGCGCTCGCTTCGTTCCTGGGCCTGTGGCCGGCTTGGCCAGGGCCGGAGTGTCAGTGCACAGCCGTCGTTGTCCTGGCAGGCAGAGGGCGCGCCAGCTGGCGAGGCGCGTGAGCGGCCTCTCGCGGATCCCCCTGGCCCGGAGCGGCCCGGCGTCGGTGACGCTGGCCACCTGGCCGGCGAAGATCGCGCGTCGGCTGCCGGAGGAGAAGAAAACATAACGGTACCAATTCCCCTCCTCGCTTTTGCCCTTGTGGGTCTCCTGGGCGCCTGCGTCGCCAAGACTAGGGAAACGAAGAATAACATAAACATAATAACTCGGAGGTCCGCGCGAATTTCTCGGATCCGCGCCTCCAGCGCCGCCCCTGGCTCGCTCCGCGCGCCAGGGAGGGGGTCCAGCGCCTATCTGAGAAATCCGCGCGGACCTCTGGGTTTTTATGTATGTCATTCTTCGTCCCCCTAAAGACCAGAGCCGCTTCGGAATCCTGGTAAGGCTGCGCCGCCAGGAGAGGCCCACGGAGTAGCGGTATATCGGTATTGCTTGTTGTTGCCCCAGGCCGTGGCGCAGCTCTGCGGCGAGCATCATGCGGATGTGCTTCGTAACGGCTCTACCAAAGACTCGGCAGGGCTTGCCAGCTGCAGCACCAATTTCGGGGCGCCACTGACGAGCACTATTGTTGGTAGCTCCACGCGGAATATGCTCCACTCTCCCCCGCCCCTCAAAGAGCTCCATAAGCAGTTTGAGAACGACACGGGGAACTCCAGAGCCAACAGGAAAATGGTTGCAGATATCATTGCCAGACAACGGGCGAGTAAGAGAAAATCCGACTACTTTCCGTTCCGAGCGGCAAGATCTGTAAAGCAGAGATTGCGTTGGGTGCGCACCAATAAATTCTCTTACGTGTTCTCTGGCATCATATTTCTCAATGCGATTTACATTGGATATGAATCTGACATTTCCATACACGAAATCAAAGATGGTGCGTACATGGAATCACACAAAGCTGATTTTTGGCTTGCTGGTGACCTTTTGTTCGCGGCCGTTTTCCTGGTTGAGATCGTCCTCCGGATCTTTGCCTACCAGGTCAAGTTTTTCACTGGTACTCCGCGGTGGTGGAACGCGTTTGACTGCTTGATTTGCGTTGCTACGCTTGTAGCAGCCATATATCGGGGGTTGCTAGAAGTGCACCTGGCCCCAGGTGCCCCCAGGATTTTCAAGGAGGCCCTCACGGCCTCCAGAGCACCCCTTACGTGGCCCAGAGCGCCCCATGGGGCTCCAAAGCGCTGGGGGCACGTTGGGCCAGGGGCACCTCTTTTAGCACTCCCCGAATATACGATCTGTTTGAGCTTCCGGCCAGCTTCTGGATCCAACTCTCGAAGGTCTTGCGCCTCGCGCGCCTGGTGCGGACTTTGAGGACCTCCAGGTCGCGGTATTTTCATACTCTGAAGACTCTGACCTACACTGTGGCAGGGAGTTGGAACGCTTTTGCATCGGCTATCCTTCTTCTGTCGGTCGTCATGTTCGTGTTCGGCTCGATGTTCATGCAGGGGCTACATGCATACCTCCTCGATCCTGGCGTCGACCCGGCCATGCAGGAGAACTTGATGAAGAATTTCGGCGGCCTCAGCGCCACCACTTTCACCCTTTTGGCGTCCGTCACGGGCGGACGCGACTGGGCTGATGTGTCTGATGATTTGGCGGAGTTCGGGATTGAGTACCAGCTGTTCTTTGCCTTGTACATTGTATCCAAGAGGCTTGCGTCATTTTGCCGCCCCGCAGACGAGGACATATGAGGCCTCCGATGTGTTGTTTGTCACTTCCCGTCTTGCTGACCGCGTAGTTGTCACTGGTCGCCTTTCTCTACCTATGTGTCTGCTGCGGGGCTTCTCGGGGGGCTCTTGGAGGCCGAGGGGACGGCCTCCTAAGAGTTTCTTGAAGGCCTCGGGTTTTTTGGTGGGGGACCCTCTGGGAGCTTCCTGGGGCCCTTGTGGGGGGTCATGTTGGGGCTCTTGGGGGCCATCTTGTGGGGGGGCTTTCCTGTGGTCCTTGCGGGTTCCCCCTCGTGAGCCTCTCTTGGGCCCCTCTTTGGGCATCTTGAGGGTTTTTGGCCGTCTTGGGGGCCTCTTGGGTCTACGTGCCATAAAAAAGGGGGCGCATTGGGCCGTCTCGGGCCAGTCTGGGGGGCCTCTCGCGGCATTTTGGGCATCCAGGCGCCCGATGCCTCTTGAGGCCCAATTGGGGGTCCTCTAGGGGCCCTCTTCTGGCGTCTTGAGCCGTCTTTTGAGGCCATTTGAGTGCCGTGGATGCCGTCTGGGCGTGTGTTGGTGCCCCTCTTGCGGCGTTTCGGAGAGCATCATTTGGGCATCCTGGGAGGCGGCGGAGGCTGGATCTGGAGGCTTCGGAGGCCCCCCGGGTTGCGTCGAGGAGCTCGCCCTCCCTCCACGTACGTGATCGTTTTCTTATTCGTTGTTTTGCCTATCGGCACGGGTCATCGCACCCCCCCCCCTCCCCCCAGTAGATCTTGGCCGTTGGTGGCGCCTCTTTCGAGCAGGTGGAGCCTCTCCTACAGGACGCACTGCTGCAAACAGTCGCACTGAGCAGAGCTCCAGAGCGAGACCCCCCCCTCCCCCCCCTTCCGCCCAATGTCGAAACGCCGGATAAGAAGACGCTCACCACTCCCACCCCCCTCCCTTGCACTCGATTCTGGACCCCGAGAGAGGTGGAACGGGGAAGGGGGATAGCCAGCCATCTCACACCAGGGCTGTACCCAAACGGTGTTTTGGACATCTCGTGGGCCAGCTGTGTTTTGCCTTGCTTTGCACTCAAGGCGAAGCGAAGGCACAACGAAAAGAACGAACATCACAACGAAAACGAAAGACACTGATTACGCTCACTCCTGTCTCACACGCCTCTGCACCTCGGGCCAGCGGGGGTCGGTGGATTTACGTTGCTCTGCGTGCTGAACATCCTGAACGGAGTCTTTGTGAATGCCGCCATCGAATCTGCCACGAAGATCAAGGAGTTGGCAGTGGAGAACGCCCACCACAAG